TCTCCCCGGACCCTGCATTCACTATATCTGGTCTCCCCGGACCCTGCATTCACTATATCCGGTCTCCCCGGACCCTGCATTCACTATATCCAGCCTCCCCAGACCCTGCATTCACTATATCCGCTCTCCCCGGACCCTCCATTCACTATATCTGGTCTCCCCGGACCCTGCATTCACTATATCTGGTCTCCACGGACCCCGCATTCACTATATCTGGTCTCCCGGACCCTGCATTCACTATATCTGGTCTCCCCGGACCCTGCATTTACTGTATCTGGTCTCCCCAGACCCTACATTCACTATATCTGGTCTCCCCAGACCCTGCATTCACTATATCCGCTCTCCCCGGACCCTGCATTCACTATATCCGGTCTCCCCAGACCCTGCATTCACTATATCCGCTCTCTCCGGACCCTGCATTCACTATATCTGGTCTCCCCCGACCCTGCATTCACTATATCTGGCCTCCCCGAACCCTGCATTCACTATATCTGGCCTCCCCGAACCCTGCATTCACTATATCCGGTCTACCCAGACCCTGCATTCACTATATCCACTCTCCCCGGACCCTGCATTCACTATATCTGGTCTCCCCAGACCCTGCATTCACTATATCTGGTCTCCCCGGACCATGCATTCACTATATCCGATCTCCCAGGACACTGCATTCACTATATCTGGTCTCCCAGGACACTGCATTCACTATATCCGGTCTCCCCGGACCCCGCATTCACTAAATCTGGTCTCCCAGGACCCTGCATTAACTATATCCGGTCTCCCCAGACCCTGCATTCACTATATCTGGTCTCCCCGGACCCTGCATTCACTATATCTGGTCTCCCAGGACACTGCATTCACTATATCGGTCTCCACGGACCCTGCATTCCCTATATCTGCTCTCCCCGGACCCTGCATTCACTATATCCGCTCTCCCCAGACCCTGCATTCACTATATCTGCTCTCCCCGGACCCTGCATTCACTATATCCGCTCTCTCCCAGACCCTGCATTCACTATATCTGGTCTCCCACAGTACAATAACATGGAAATGCAATTATTTTAGTAAATATGAACTGCTAAATACCTTTGCTCTTCAGCAGTTAGAGCAGTCTTGTGACTTTTATCAGTGTCCAGCAGAGCACTGGTTAGATCTTGTAGGAGTAGTTTTCATTCTCCTCTAACTGTCCTGTGAGGCTGCAGGACCCCTGACCCTTCTGTCTGGACAGCTCTAATGGGCCCTGTGCTGATCACATGCACATTTCCGAGAAAAAGAAAAAAACTCTAGCAATACACATCAAATTAAACATGTGCAGCTTGCCCCCAAGGCTCTTTTCTATAAGGAGATGAAATGGGGACAATAGAAGAAGGGGAAGATTAGAGGAGTCAGGATCAAATATCCTTTTTACACAATGCAGAGGATTAACCCCTTAGGTTCCACAGTGAGTATAACAAGTATGCTTTACTGCAGATACAGACTGTTTTTACTGTTGCGGGTTTACTAGCACTTTAAAGGATAAGTTCAGCTTTGGAACATGTTATATGTTTCACCCGTTTTTAGGGTGGAAAATATAATATGTTCCTATAGCTGCAGACACGCCCTCTGCCCCTCCCCCCCAACTCTGACAGATAGTAGGAGAAGAAGTTTCCCTGTACTGTCTGTCAGATTCGATAACAGCATGGCCATGTGGGGCTCCGCCCGCACGGCTTCGTCCCTCATTCACAGAGTTCTGTGACTGAGTGCCTACAAGTCCCAGCAGCCTTTGTGGCTGTCAGCTTGTAGTTTTCAATGAACTGTCAGTATGTCTGCTTGCTGTATGGGATATTCTGACAGGTCTGCAGGAGACCTGAATGGCATTAGCGATCTACTGATCACTGGAGCAAGGCTTTCCAGGCTCCTGCAGACAAAAATAATAAATGCACATTTTTTTACCTGCAAAAAAACACAGCAGTATGTGGTCTAGGCATTTCTTTGCTCTCTGGCCTGTCACTGATTGGTGGATTTGTCTGGGACCAAAAAAATGGGGCGTGCAGACTGGAAAAAGGTCATAAGCTGTAGCCTTTCCCCACTGGAAGAAAACTCCAGTATGTGCAAAAATGAGAAGACTATTGCAAGACATGTATTAACCTCCCTAGCGGTCTGATTATGTCCATATTTCTGTGCTCAAAGTGGTACATTTTTTTGCATGGAAATATGTATTTTTTTTATTGTAGGCCTGTAATTTTTAGGAATAACTCACTGAAATCTGTCCGAACAAGAGTCTATGTTACAATTTGAAACACGAAATCATAAATTATAATATAATAAATAATCATAAAAAATAATAATATAATAATAATAAATTTAATTCAATAATATAATCAAACCAAAAACACTGAAATGTGAAATATAGCGCCAAGTTCGCACATCGCTGAGCAAAGTCGCAGAATCGTTTTCAGTGTCTGATGAGGAATTTCCCCCACGAATCATTATCACTCAATTCTGGAAGTAGTTCTGATTTACTATCGCTGTTCTCTAGCCGGTCTAAAACCGCTTTTGACCTAAAGGGACGCTTTTTTGGACGCCATGGACGTTTCTTAGTTTCCAGGCAGAAAGAACAGTCAAAATGCAGGCAGGGCGCCGGACAAAGCACTCGGGACAAAATGTATGTGAAATGGTTTGATACAGGAATGTTATACTATGTGATTTTAGTGTATTTAGTGAATGTCACTTTTTGTAATTTTCAAATTTCCCGCCGTTCCATCCCCCGTACATCCTGACGTTGCAGGGAACGTAACCCAGATGACGGATGCCGGCATCGGCTGGAGGACATTGCCAGGGACACTGCAGGGGGGACATCGCGGGGAGCGCAGGACAAGGTAAGTGAAGAACAAATCCCGGAGCAGCGCCGCATGGTAAACCCAAGTGTAGCTCGGGGTTACCGCTTGTGGTGCTGAAACTTTACCCCGAGGTACACTCGGGAATACCGCCAGGGGGTTAACATGCATTCTAAGCAGCGTGCACATAGGCGCACATGCATGCTCGGCACTGGTATAGTTGTGCCCGTAGCGGAAAAGAAAAGAAAAGAGAAGAATAGCGGAGGGCAGTCATGACTAAGTGAAGAGGGAAAGGAAAGACAGGAATGGGTTTAGTGAAAGGAGATGGTCGGAAAAACATGAAAGGTTGGAGATGGGTAGTACGGGGTGGGGTCTTCGGCTTTTTGGGGAGTGGTGGGGGGGTGGTTGGACGATCCAGTGCTGGAATTGAAGCTGAAGAGGAAACTTCCCTCCCACCCTCCCTTGGGGTTGTTTGGGTCTTGCAGTTCTTGCTTTGTTCTGTTTTGGGGGCGTTGTTGGGCTTTGGAGGCGGCAAATTATTTTAAGCGAAAGCATATGGTTGGGACCCATCTGTGGTATGGTGTGCCCAGCTGCATTCCGATTAACCGAGGTTTAACTGGAAGGTGGAGGTTCTACACTGCCGAGGTGTGTGTTTTTCTCTCTGAGCCGTGCGTTGCGGCTGGAGGCCTAGTATGAATACTGTGGTTAAGGTTCCGCAGGGGGATATCAGTATTGTTTGGTGCCTTCATAGACCAACAACTTATCCTGCATGTTTCTGTTTTAAGGAATGTTTTGTGATTTAGGTTGAATTGTTAATAAAAGGATGTGAAGGCCATTTTTACTCCAAGGGTGTTTGGTCTCCTTTATTGATATATGGAGAGTTGGGGGGGAAGGGGTATATCAAGAGAGTCGGGTTGGTGATGGTTTATTTGCTACGGTCTTAGCTAGCACATCTCGTCTACACTAGTCATGGCCAGTAGTGTATTTAGGTTTTGTGCTGCCCTAGGCAACACGAAAATCATCTGCCCCCACAGACACTGACCAACACAACCCCTCCTTCCCCCTCCCGTGGAACAACAACACCCCTGCCCCCCACCCGGGACAGCCTTCCACTGCCCCCATCTTCACAGCTCCGGAAATCCCTGGGAACGAGAGTCAGGCTCTACATACACCATTAAGCAGACCGCAGCCTCTCTCGGATTCCCATGGTGCGCGTGTCCCTTCTTCCATCCCTTCTTCTGGGATGCCGCCCTAGGCAAGTGCCTTTGTGGTAAATACGCCCCTAGTCATGGCACCAAACAGCCTATTTAAGCTGGATTGTGACATGGACATATTGCTGAGTGGTCTTCAGCTTGTCCCTGATTTATCTGTGACCTGACCAGCTATGTTTGCTTTCCTGTGTGCGACCTGGCTTGCCTTTGACCTTTCTGTGGATTCCTGTTTACCCGTTGTGACCTCGGCCTGTGTTTGGACTCTGTATCCCATTTCTTCATTGGGTACCTCGATGCCTTGCTGTGAACTGGCCTTGGTTAGTATCCTGACTTATGTTCCTGTACCTCGTTGCCCAGCTGTTGACAACCTCTGGCTTGTGTCCTGCCTTTGCTTCTGTCTACTAATCGGGTGTCACCATATAGCTACCTCTGGTCTTTATCTGGTGGTCCACAGTCACCTGTGTCTTTCATTCAACAATGCTGCCTTCAGCATTGGTCCTCATGTCACACTCGCATCTCCTGTCACCACTACCAGGGGTTTTGAACAAGTGGTGCAAGAGAATCCCCCTCTCTAGTCCAATCTCCACCAGGTACATGACACCCGCTCCACTAAAAAATGGAAAATTGTATGAAATACTTATTGTAATTTTCCTTTACTGGTGCCTATCCATGGCACCATACTAATGATAGGACTCCAACCCCTATCCTCTCCTACAAGAGCAGTGAAATAAAAGTGAGAATATAGACCCTGTCAGGAAAGGCTTGTCCACAATGCAGGTGAAGATTGCGGTGTACAAGTATTCGCAGGCACAGAACAGAGACGGGCCAGGCAGATGTGCTTGTACTTGGGCATAGGTGTGCTCACTCGCGCATCCAGGCGCGTGCCTGTCACTAATGCTGGTGCCAAAAGAGCTGTTTAAACTGGCTGCAGTATTGTCTCTTTGCCGTTTGGTCTTTAGCTCCTGAGTGTGTATCCTGATCCTTGTGCCTGACTCCTGATACTGAACCAGCTTGTTCCTGACCTCCACTTGTTCTGCTACCTGCCCTGACCCCCTTGCTTGGATTACTCTTCTGCCTCCTGCTCTTGTCTGATTGAACTTCCGCTGTTACCTAGCCTGTGACCCGAACTACGCTACCTCCTGCCGTCTATACCTGATCTGCCCGACTGCTACCAACCTAGCTTGTCTGACCTTGCATCTTCCATCTTGCTCCCCAGCGATCCATCTATCAAGTACAGCCGCATCCGGATCCTGCTCCTCGCCACGAACCTTCAGCCTACTGACAACCAAGGATATCTGCCATCGTCTGTACTGCTGCTTCACCTGCCGGCCGACTACTGCTGAAACACTGACTACTGGACTGATCACAGGCACTCATACCGCGCCGTGCTCCTGCAGCCGCTGTCCCACTATCAGTATCCCTCGAGCCGAGCTGTACGGGGGGCCTGCCTCTTCACATCAGGCTCACTATCCAGGTACATGACAGTACCAAACGACCATGTTTGAGTCTACAAGAAGACCCTCTTCCCTGGCTGAGATTAGTCAACACCTGGCAGCTCTTACCCAAGCAGTCAAGACTCTGCAGGAAGGTTATTTGCACATGGAGGAACGTGTACAGTCCCTGGCTACATCCACCACTTCTCATGCACCTGCCTCCGCTCCAGCCGCAGCTGCAGTCCCAACAGAAACTCTTGCCAATTCTGCTGTCATGATGCCAATCTCCTGAGCCTTGAGTATCTACTCCAGAGCTGTTTGCTGGCGACCGAAGCAAGTTTAGAGCTTTTCACAACGCATGTCAGCTCTATTTCAATCTCCAGCCACAAACCTTTTCCGCAGAAACTACTAAAAGTATATTCACTGCTCCAGGGTGAACCATAGGCCTGGGCTCATCGATTACTTGAAAGTAACCATACACACCTGAACACTATGTCCACCTTCTTTGATGCTATGACCCAGTTTTATGATGA